TCAGGTCAGGACATGACCGTCCATCTCGGCCCTGTGCGAACTGGAAGGTTTTCCCAGCCGTAAAACACGGACCGTCACTAGCCTAGATCAAGCATCAACGGTCAGCCCGTGGTGTCACCAGGTAATTTATGGGCTGTTGGCCACGTTAATAGCCGAGTCCCCCAAGACACCAGGTATGCATTGCCCACAGCGTGGTAACCAATCCGGTGTGGCCGTCACGGCCCAAAGGTTCTCACGGCCTGTGCTGGCCAGTGCATTAACATGCCTAAGCATTTCATTTTAATTACCTGGCCCTCCTCGATGGGACCAAACCCAGGTAAAGTTCACTTGGGGTCGTAACACCCCCACCCTTCAAGAAATTAATTCGCCACCACATGGTGAATTAATTGAACATCTCTTACTAGACAACCATACCAATCTCACAATTCCTCAAAAGTCCCAGAATAAACCGAAATAGGACTACATCACTTTAACATCATCATCATCAAAAAGATAAGAAACGTGGATGATTTAGTCCCAATAACAAGTTTGACTAAATACACCAACCACAATGTCATCAAACATAGACATCAAAGTAAATAAAACCGCAAATCTGCAACACATATGTCACTGTCGCAAATAATCTTAATGTTGAAACCAACAGTCTTCGTTTTACTGATAGTTACGTCATCAGTCAACAAAACCTGTCAATACAATTAAAAACTGTCACGAATTCATCATCATGTAAAACAGCAATAACACATTTTTTTTTCAAACAAGACATGTATAAGGGTACATTCTTTAAGCCTGAAAATAGTTCATTTTGATTAGAACACTTGCATCCTGGGAAAACATGAAACAGTCAATATAGGAAACAGTTCTATAACAGGTTTGAAACACAAAGGTACACATTGTCATTATGTTTCCGTCTTGCGGGTCATCATGAGTCCGTAAATATAAATCTTTAGCCGAACTTTGTAACGTCGCAGCACAATTTTAGTGAGGGAGATATTATCCGCCCACAACAAATACACCGAGCCGCACAAAGAGAGGTCGATTTCACGCCCCGTCTCTGTGAAAGTGAGGTGATATGCGCTCACATGTACACATTCTCGGTTGACGGGAGAAGTGTGACCCGCTGAGGTCACATTACCGATCTTCCCCGGGTCGGTCAAAGAACAATAAATCAGCTCCGAGATAAGGGGAGGGAAGCCTGAGTTAGGCTCAACTCCTAAACAAGAGGTAACAACTACGCTTGTCACCGACGTTGATAAAAGATTCGTCGTCTCCTCAAACTCGGGATGTAGAACACCATCCACGTGACCTCCAGGTGAGGTCATGGCCTCTGGGTTGCTGGACTTGGTCGGGGAGAAATCAAATACTGCCGTGATAATGGGAGGACAGCCCGTGTTAGGCTCACCTCCAAGACAATGGGTAACAATTTCGTCTGTTACCGAGGCTGGCAGAAGATTTGTTGACTCGTCTAACTGAAGATGTGGGTCACCATCCACATGACCTCCAGTTAAGGTCATGACGCCTTCAAGACCACAAGTAGTAAGGTCTTGATCAGATACAGTTACTGGTTCAGGTTCAGACGAGGACAGCCTGTTCTCATGGGTATTCACTCTCTCGGTGGTTACCGTGATTTCAGCGGTGGTTGTAACCACTGGTTCTGATATTGACTGCCCCTTTTCATGACTGGTCAACATCAGAGTGGTTGCCGGGATATCATCGGTGGTTGTATCCACTGGGTCAGATATTGACAGCCCCTTTTCATGACTGGTCAACACCAGAGTGGTTGCCGTGATTTTATCTAAACCAATAACTTGCTGAATGCCTTCAGTACTTGTCGGCACACAACTCTCAACTCGTAAGCTATCAGCACGTTTTGACGTTTGTGCTGGTTCTGCTAGGTTAGAGTCGACTTCAGGGACTGAGCCAAAGCTAGTGGCAGCCTTAGTCTGAGACTGACAAAACTCACTACCTACTCTATCAGACAACAAACTATCTTCATCTCTATACCGATCCTCGGAAACTACTACACTGGCCTGAGAGAAAACAGAGACAGATTCTGGAAAGTCAAACAATCCACTAAGATGCGCCTCCTCCCATAGCCTAAGTAAATCCCGTTCCCTCCTGATCTCTAATAGTTTAATTTCATGTCCGAACAGTTTCTCTAAACTTTTAATGTTAATTTCCTTCCAAGATTCTGACATGAATATATCCCTCCTGATCTCTAACAACTTATCCTCTTTTTCTCGCGTGATCTCTAACAACTTAACTTGAAACTTTCTCTCAATTTCTTCTACTCTAATACGTCCTATCTCATAATATTCTATCGAGTCTAGACACTCCTCCTCTAATCTACCTGTATTCACTAACTCAACACAAATATGATCTCGTAGAACTCTATCTCTATCCGACACATCAACCTCTAGTCCTAGCTCCTCAACTAGACGCAACAACTCTACGCGACAAAACCTGTCTAAAACTTCTAGAGTTGGACACTCAATAAAACTCATTACGTCCATGATTCACACTTACGGAACTTATTCAGCTAAATGGTGGCGGTTAACTAACAAAAATGTGGCTCACAACAAACAACTTTAACTTAAACATTAAAAATAGGGCTATCACCTTTGACACTTGAAACAGGTAGACACCAGCTATACTGGGCCAACCAAACTAAGATATCCCGCTACACTGGATCACAAACGATTCACTCACGTATACTGGGAATTGACCCTCCAGCTATACTGAGCAAACCAAATAAAAATTACGAATTTATTCACGTACCTGGGAATTGACCCTCCAGCTGTACTGAATAAACCCGAACACTCCAGTTCCACTGGACCAAACAAAAACATTCGAGTATACTGGGCATTAATCCCTCCAGCTATACTGAATCAACAAAAAAAATTCCAGCTCTACTGGACCAACATAAAAATCAAGCAAAATAAACTCAGTGTCAATACAAAGGTGATAAGCTCGCTACTTACTCAATGTTTGGAAAACTCTCCTGATTCCGTGAACAACTTTACTCTCACTACTCATAAAACTTAAAATCAAACACTAGCTCGTGAGCCCCCAACTGAAAATGGCATCAAAAGAAACTATTCAACTCGTTGTCTGTCCTATCCCGGACTCTAGCCGCCAATTGTTACGCACCCCCTCTTCTCTAATCCTTTCGAACTAGTCAGGGGATCGTAAACAAGAAGAAGAAAAATAAAAATAAATAAAAGCCAACTTCAGTAATCTCTATTTATTCGCCACAAAAATACAACATCTAACATTAACCCGCCACCGAAGTACAACAATCAGAAATATACACAAGTAACTACAACAACTAAAGTTCTTAATACGACTGCCCTACTTGTCCCTAACCGTCTAGCCTAGCCTAAGTCTAAAACATGTCGTGGCTTTCCACCAGCTCACAGAGACGACCCCGGGTCTGTCTCCTCTAAGCCTAGCTATCCGAGACGTCCGTCCGTCTCCGTGTGTCTGTCCCGAGTGTCTGTCGAGAGTGTTCGTCTAGTCTCCGGTCTACCCTCCTAAAGTACTCAAGTCGTCCCTCGCTAGTGTGGGAACCTTGTTAATCGAGCCTGACCCTAAGGTCAGGTCAGGTCAGGACATGACCGTCCATCTCGGCCCTGTGCGAACTGGAAGGTTTTCCCAGCCGTAAAACACGGACCGTCACTAGCCTAGATCAAGCATCAACGGTCAGCCCGTGGTGTCACCAGGTAATTTATGGGCTGTTGGCCACGTTAATAGCCGAGTCCCCCAAGACACCAGGTATGCATTGCCCACAGCGTGGTAACCAATCCGGTGTGGCCGTCACGGCCCAAAGGTTCTCACGGCCTGTGCTGGCCAGTGCATTAACATGCCTAAGCATTTCATTTTAATTACCTGGCCCTCCTCGATGGGACCAAACCCAGGTAAAGTTCACTTGGGGTCGTAACAATATATATATATATATATATATATATATATATATATATATATATATATATATATATATATATATATATATATATATATATATATATATATATATGATGGATTTTCTCTGCCACATGAGCGAACACATTTGTTACTGCCAACAAGGCTAACCCTAAACAAAACCTCTTGAACCCTCTACATGTCATGTCATGTCACAGAGCCAATCGAAAACTTCAACAAATTTTTCATCAAATCCTGACTCAATTTTGTGGTTCAAACAATACCTACAACCTGATCCCCTCCTAATCCGTAACGTCATGTAGCTTTTTGTTTTAAACCTGCAATTTGAATCTAGCATATTTTGTAATGGCCGAGATTTATTTTGTTACATTAAAAAAAAAAAGAACAGAATAAAGACATAACTCTAGAAGTTAATACCAATAGTGCATGGACCACTGTCTATAATTGTGAGAATGTAAAAACATTATTTTTTTTCTATCCTTTTCTTCCAACATTTCAAACCTTTCTACTTTTTTCATGTACAGAAAGCATTGCATTATCTCCCCTACTAGATATAGAATCGCTAAAAAGTAGGGGCCCGAAGTGCTATAAACAGAGATACAGAAAAGTTAAAAATAGTGGGGTTTTCAAGGGAGGTAACAGTTCTATTTGTTTTCCTCCCTAGTCGGATAGGGATTCTCTCTCTTTTAGCATGCTTAAATAATTATTAAAGCTTAAAATATTTTAAAAATATTTAATTTAAGTAAACATATTTTTTGTACGTATTATTAATTGTTTTACTACCTTTTAAAAATGTATCAACGGTGCTGCAACACTAAATTTAGTTACCTATCTTAACTGTATGTTTCTGCCACTTAATGTGGTGACTATATATACAGCCTGAACAAAAAGTGAGAACAAAAAATAAACCCACTGTAAATGAAATAAAATATTTTGTAGATAGAAATTTATTCTTTTATAATACAAAATCTTATTCTTGAAAGTGATATTTTTAAATTAACATATACTCATCAATGATTTACATTTATTAAACAAGGGAAGTAACAAAGGTTTCTAAAAAAATACACTTGTATTTTAGCAGTTATTTCCCTTAATATTTAAAAAAACTGTCTAGTCACGAAATAGCAGAGATCGTGAATAATTAACATAATCTACTTGTAGACCCAACCATCGATTAATCCGTAGATAAGTATAAAGTATAAATAAACTACATCCTCCAAACTAATAAGTCAATAGTTATCTTTACTAACCCGGTAGAGGTTAGCGTGAAATTTGTGTAGCATAAAAACTTGACTTAACTTGCTGTGTACTAGAATATAAGTCCTGTACACAACCAAAATCATCGTACCATAAACACACATAACATCACAAATCAATGTCCAAATTTAACATAATAAAGCCAAGTACATAAGAAATACAAGTCTGACATGTACACATAGATAAACCAATATGTCATGTACACATAAAACACCATATTAGTTCATGTACACCATGAAGACCTCATACACGCGAGAAAAGTGTACACACGAGCCAAAGTAGACCCGTGTACACACCAATGTACACACGAGTGTACACATCCGTGTGGGGCGAGGGTGACTCGCTCTTGCTCAGCTGGGGGTCTGTGTTGTTTTCGCTTAAAGTCACGTCCATTCTGGTGACGTCATTGGGCTTGACTGTGACGTAGACGCGACTGGTGTTATAGTCTGGGTGGGACACCTAAAGTGACAATTTGCTGTTAATAGGTACATGTGTTAAAAACTTTACTTTCAATACATGTGTTAAAAACTTTTCTTTCAAGTACATGTGTTAAAAACTTTTCTTTCAAGTACCTGTGTTAAATACTTTTCTTTCAAGTACCTGTGTTAAAAACTTTACTTTCAAGTAAAACTGTTAAAAACTTAGCAAATGCCAAAAAAAAAAATATATTTTAAAATGTAAAAACAAAATGAAGTTGGAGGCTATTTTTACCCACACACCAACAAGTTGATTAACCAATTTAGGATATCTGATTGAGAAATTAAACAGTTTTTTAAAATTAACTAATTAATTACTGGACAGTATTTTAAAAAAGAATTAACCTAGACGTAGTTTATTTTATAAGAAAAGCAATTTTTACCTTAATAACTGAAAGCTACATAAAATATTTCACGTCAATAAACAAAAGCCACATCAAATATTTTACCACCATTTCATATTCGCCCGGCAACAGAAGTTTGTAGTACTCTCCCTTGTTGGAGGTCAGAAATTCGAAGTTCTCCTGCCCTACGATCACCACAGTGGCCGAGGGCAGAGGCTTTGCTATCTGGTCGCTTCTCTCACCCGTGACAATGCCCTTCACACCTTCCAGATTAGAACACATTAAAAGTTGACACAACAACATACTCTCCCATTAAAAGTTGACACAACAACACACTCTCCCATTAAAAGTTGACACCTCTTCTCTCCACCCCTCCATAAATGACGTCACGCTATTTGGACTTCTTCTTCTTCTTCTTCATTCTTAATTGAGAATATGGTGGAGGATTCAGACAACAAGTCCAACTTCGTGAACAAACCGGACTGTCGTCTCCAGGCTATTTTGGACGATTTTTACCTCCTCCCCTCCCCTCCGTCACACATCGTCACAAAAAGCCAGTCCCCCCCCCCTAAAATGACATCACACCTCAGCCTACAACCTCCCCCCCCCCTCAAAATTGCAGTTAAATTTTTCTTTAAACATCGATATTTTTCTAAAATCTTGTCTGAACTCTGTCAAAATAGAGTATTTTAATCAATTCCCATTAAATCAGTTTTCTAAAACGCGAAATAACGTCTAAAATTCGTATTCTAACATTGCTTTTATATAATGCAAAAATGTGAAGTCGCACCATCTGAACCCCCGCCCCCCCCCCCCCCCCCTCTTCACACATCCTCACAAAATTACGGATCCCTCCTCCCCCCCCCTGTGAGTTTAACGTCATTTATGGACGACCCCTTACTCAATGGCCACTAAACAGTTATTTCTTTTTCTTAAAACAAAAATTTAACAAAAGGGGAAACAATTTTACCGGGTCCCCAGAAAGTATAAAATCACATTCTAAAGAAATCCTTTAAAAAAAAAGAATGATTAATCAAGGGATAGGGGGGGAGGGGGGATGTAACATCATAACCCATGTTTTTTTTACTATATAAGTACAAATTTACCTACAAATATTGTGCCCAATTAAATAAAACTGCGCCGAGAAAAAAATTGTAATCATTAAAAAATTGCGCTCAATTAAAATAAAACTGTACCTATAATAACTGTACCCATCTAGAATTAAACTGTACCCTCAACTAAAACTCAAACTGTACCCATCTAGAATCAAACTGTACCCAACTAAAAAAACTGTACCCTCAACTAAAATCAAACTGTACCCATCTAGAATCAAACTGTACCCAACTAAAAAACCTGTACCCTCAACTAAAATTAAACTGTACCCAACTAAAAAACCTGTACCCTCAACTAAAATCAAACTGTACCCATCTAGAATCAAACTGTACCCTCAGCTAAAATCAAACTGTACCCAACTAAAAAAAACTGTACCCTCAACTAAAAAAAAACTGTACCCTCAACTAAAATCAAACTACCCAACTAAAAACCCTGTACCCTCAACTAAAATCAAACTGTACCCAACTAAAAAAAACCCTGTACCCTCATATAAAATTAAACTGTACCCAACTAAAAAAATGTACCCTCAAGTAAAATCAAACTGTACCCTCAACTAAAATCAAAATGTACCCGCAAGTAAAATCAAACTGTACCCTCAAGTAAAATCAAACTGTACCCTCAACTAAAATCAAACTGTACCCTCAAGTAAAATCAAACTGTACCCTCAACTAAAATCAAACTGTACCCTCAATTAAAATCAAAATGTACCCGCAAGTAAAATCAAACTGTACCCTCAAGTAAAATCAAACTGTACCCTCAACTAAAATCAAACTGTACCCTCAAGTAAAATCAAACTGTACCCTCAACTAAAATCAAACTGTACCCTCAATTAAAATCAAAATGAACCCGCAAGTAAAATCAAACTTTACCCTACTAAAAACCCTGTACCCTCAACTAAAATCAAACTGTACCCTCAACTAAAATAAAAATGTACCCTCAAGTAAAATCAAACTGTACCCTCAACTAAAATCAAAATAAACCCTCAAGTAAAATCAAACTGTACCCTCAAGTAAAATCAAACTGTACCCTCAAGTAAAATCAAACTGTACCCTCAAGTAAAATCAAACTGTACCCTCAAGTAAAATCAAACTGTACCCTCAACTAAAATCAAACTGTACCCTCAAGTAAAATCAAACTGTACCCTCAAGTAAAATCAAACTGTACCCTCAAGTAAAATCAAACTGTACCCTCAAGTAAAATCAAACTGTACCCTCAACTAAAATCAAACTGTACCCTCAACTAAAATCAAACTGTACCCTCAACTAAAATCAAACTGTACCCTCAACTAAAATCAAACTGTACCCTCAAGTAAAATCAAACTGTACCCTCAACTAAAATCAAACTGTACCCTCAACTAAAATCAAACTGTACCCTCAACTAAAATCAAACTGTACCCTCAAGTAAAATCAAACTGTACCCTCAAGTAAAATCAAACTGTACCCTCAAGTAAAATCAAACTGTACCCTCAAGTAAAATCAAACTGTACCCTCAACTAAAATCAAACTGTACCCATGTGAACCGGCAGCATGAAGTTGACCAGAGCGTCCTTGTTCCTGTCCCAGAGGCTCCCTATGTCTGCCTCAGGCGGAAACTTGCAGCAGGAAATCTTCAGCTCCACAGCGTAGCATCCAGCATACTTGTACAGGTAGTCCGGCAGCGTACCTGAAGCATACGGGAGAAGGGCGTTACCCCCCGTCTACTTGTACAGATAGTCCGGCAGCGTACCTGAAGCATACGGGAGAAGGGCGTTACCCCCCGTCTACTTGTACAGGTAGTCCGGCAGCGTACCTGAAGCATACGGGAGAAGGGCGTTACCCCCCGTCTACTTGTACAGGTAGTCCGGCAGCGTACCTGAAGCATACGGGAGAAGGGCGTTACCCCCCGTCTACTTGTACAGGTAGTCCGGCAGCGTACCTGAAGCATACGGGAGAAGGGCGTTACCCCCCGTTATCTACCCACCAGGTAATTTCCCCACCGGATCAATTATCTCAATTTTAATTACCCCCCCCCCCCCCCCACCGTACATTACCCTTCTCCTTATAAAATTTACTGTAGGACATAACCCCTTGTCAGTTGTCCTCATGTCATTCAGAGTTAGAGAAAGAGTGTATAGATGAAGAGCAGTGTTTCTTCCAGACTTTTTTCTTCGAGGGGGAGTGGGGGGGGGGGGGCGCACTTGGTATTTTCGGGGGGGGGGGGGGCTAAATATTCCAGGGGGGGGGGGGTGCGGACATTTGTAAAAGTATATATTTTCTAAATAAATTCCATTAAGATCGAGGGGGGGGGGGAGGGCGGTAGACCCTAACCCTAACCCCCCCCCTCCCCCGAAGAGATGGCTGGAAGAAACATTGATGTAGAGTAAGTTAGGGTTGTGTGTTCTAAATGGGGGGGGGGGGGGAGTTAACACATGGGTATTACCGGGAAGATGGGTAATGGCGGGGATAAACTGAGGGTAGTGATGGAGGGGGGAGTGGTGTAATGCCCTCTACCCAGAGGCGTAGCAAGGGGGGGGGGGGGAGGGGTGCGGACACCGCACCGGGTGACACCATTTAGAGGGGTGACACCAAGGCAAAAAATATAATAATATATAGAGAAAAACTTGAGGGGGGGGGGTAAAAAATCAAAAGTTTGAGAGGGGGGGGGGAATAAAAAGTTTGAGGGGGGGGGGGTGAAAATCGAAAATTTGAAAGATTGTCCCCTGGAAGGGTCGCTACGCCTCTGGTGGGTGACACCATTAAGTGCCGCACCGGGTGAGACCCGACCTCGCTACGCCACTGCCTCTACCTGAATCATGGAGTTGTCAATATATTCCAAAATATTCCAATTCCAAACTAAATAGACGATCATATTAAAATATTCTAAAACAACCTGCTAAAATGTATTTAAATAAATAAATAAATAAACAAAAAAAAAAAAAAATCATCAATACCTATTTATGACGGCCATATGCGGTCACTACTGGTGAACTTACAGTGACGTACCTACAGCGGGGAAGAAGGCGGCACCGTTGGCCACGCCCCCTTTAAATGCCCGACAGCACTCGCCCCTCTGGGACATAGTGGGGTGGGTCTGGGCGTACCGTGAGGCCAGGAACCGGTAGACCCCGTCGTCCGGGGGCAGGGCGTAGGTCTCCAGCTCAGGTGCTGGGTACGAGAAAAAACTGAGTAGATTTTGGGAGTAGGTAGCAGATGGAATAACTGATAGATGAGTTTTATGGCTCTTTAATTAAAGACTTGAGGTGAGATGGGAGGGGGGTTGGGCACTTTTTTGTGTGGAAGATTGAGGATATGGGGAAGATTAATTATTGCTTACAAATAAAAACGACAAAAAGGTTATTAATTTGATATTGTAAGTTGTTTTCTTTTGGTGGGTGGGGGTGGGGGTGGGAGAGAAAATTTGGTTAGGCTGGAGATAGTGACGTGATGTTAGAAATAAAGGGACAGGTAGGGGGGCCTTCAGGTGGAGTAAAAATCTGCTTAAGTTGTATAATGATATTAATGCTGCACTATACATAAATTAATTACCCTCCCCTGCCCCACACCCACCCCCTCCATCCCAATACGTCTCAATACACCTCTGCAAGTAAAGAAAGACATTCGAGAAAGTTCCTCACCTTTGGGGTAGGAGCTGAAGGGGTAGACGGCCACCACGTCCCCAGCCGTCAAGACGGCCGACAGAACAAAGTGTCTGTCCTTGACCCAGTTGATGACGTTCTGCGTCTCGGGCTGTGTGACGTCATCGGGTGGCTTGGGTTGATCAGGGAAGTTCCGGTTCAGGTCGACACCTATGGCGTTTCCACTGTAGTGAGGGGGGGGGGGGGGGAGGGGGGATAAAGCTGCTGCAAACTACTATTTATATGTGTCAAAGTTTCTAGAAACTATTGCTGAGTACCTACCAGAATAACTACCTGCAATAGTCACTACCTGCTATTCACTACATGCAAGAGTCACTATCTGCTAGAATCACTACCTGCAACAGTCACTACCTGCTAGTCACTACCTGCAAAAGTCACTACCTGCAACAGTCACTACTTGCTAGTCACTACCTGCAAAAGTCACTACCTGCAACAATCACTACCTGCTAGTCACTACCTGCAAAAGTCACTATCTGCAAGAGTCACTACCGGCTAGTCACTACCCGCAAGAGTCACTGTCTGCTGGAGTCACTACCCGCTGGAGTCACTACCTGCTGGAGTCACTACCCGCTGGAGTCACTACCTGCTGGAGTCACTACCTGCAAGAGTCAATACCTGCAAGAGTCACTACCTGTAAGAGTCACTACCTGCAAGATTCACTACCTGCAAGAGTCACAATCTGCTAGAGTCAGTACCTGCAAGAGTCACTACCTGCAAGATTCACTACCTGCTTGTCACTACCTGCAACAGTCACTACCTGCCAGTCACTACCTGCCAGTCACTACCTGCAACAGTCACTACCTGCTAGTCACTACCTGCAAAAGTCACTACATGCAAGAGTCACTACCTGCTAGTCACTACCCACAAGAGTCACTACCTGCTTGTCACTACCTTCAAGAGTCACTGCCTGCTGGAGTCACTACCTGCTGGAGTCACTACCTGTTGTGGTCACTACATGCAAGAGTAGCTAACCGCAAGAGTCACTATCTGCTGGAGTCACTACCTGAAGGAGTCACTACCTGCTGGAGTCACTACCTTGTCACTACCTGCAAGAGTCACTACCTGCAAGAGTCACTACCTGCTAGAGTCACTACTTGCTAGAGTCACTACTTGCTAGAGTCACTACCTAATAGAGTCACTACCTGCTAAAGTCACTACCTGCAAGAGTCAGTACCTGCCAACCGTTAGGTCACTACCTGCCAACCGTTGGGTCACTACCTGCCAACCGTTGGTCACTACCTGATAGAGTCACTACCCCAACCGTATGGTCACTACCTGCCAACCGTTGGGTCACTACCTGCCAACCGTAGGTTCACTACCTGCTAGAGTCACTACCTGCCAACCGTTGGGTCACTACCTGCCAACCGTTGGGTCACTACCTGATAGAGTCACTACCTGCCAACCGTTGGGTCACTACCTGCCAACCGTTGGGTCACTACCTGCTAGAGTCACTACCTGCAAGAGTCAACCTGCCAACCGTTGAGTAACTACCTGCCAACCGTTGGGTCACTACCTGCCAACCGATTGGGTCACTACCTGCCAACCGTTGGGTCACTACCTGATAGAGTCACTACCTGCCAACCGTTGGGTCACTACCTGATAGAGTCACTACCTGCCAACCGTAGGGTCACTACCTGATAGAGTCACTACCTGCCAACCGTTGGGTCACTACCTGCCAACCGTTGGGTCACTACCTGCCAACCGTTGGGTCACTACCTGCCAACCGTTGGGTCACTACCTGCCAACCGTAGGGTCACTACCTGCCAACCGTTGGGTCACTACCTGCCAACCGTTGGGTCACTACCTGATAGAGTCACTACCTGCCAACCGTTGGGTCACTACCTGCCAACCGTTGGGTCACTACCTGCTAGAGTCACTACCTGCAAGAGTCAACCTGCCAACCGTTGAGTAACTACCTGCCAACCGTTGGGTCACTACCTGCCAACCGATTGGGTCACTACCTGCCAACCGTTGGGTCACTACCTGATAGAGTCACTACCTGCCAACCGTTGGGTCACTACCTGATAGAGTCACTACCTGCCAACCGTAGGGTCACTACCTGATAGAGTCACTACCTGCCAACCGTTGGGTCACTACCTGCCAACCGTTGGGTCACTACCTGATAGAGTCACTACCTGCCAACCGTAGGGTCACTACCTGCCAACCGTTGGGTCACTACCTGCCAACCGTTGGGTCACTACCTGCTAGAGTCACTACCTGCCAACCGTTGGGTCACTACCTGCCAACCGTTGGGTCACTACCTGCCAACCGTTGGGTCACTACCTGCTAGAGTCACTACCTGCCAACCGTTGGGTCACTACCTGCCAACCGTTGGGTCACTACCTGCCAACCGTTGGGTCACTACCTGCTAGAGTCACTACCTGCCAACCGTTGGGTCACAGCCTTCCACCGCCACCGCGGCGCCGTCAGGGTTCATGGAGGGCATCAGGTGGACGGTGGTCTGGTCCAGGAAGTGCCGGATGGTGACGTTGTCTGCGTACTGCTGTAGGAGGTGCTGGCCCAGCAGGAGGAGCAGCTCCCGACCCACGGGCTGCCCGGGGAGACGAGGGTGGGGGGGGGGGTGTTAAGGACAGTCTAAACACGCGTACAACATAGAGGTGACAGCAGAGGCGTAGCGACCCTTCCCGGCGCCCGGGGACAAACTTTCAAATTGGCCCCCCCCCCCTCGTGAGCAACCTTTCAAGTTTCAAATTTACAATTTGCACCCCCCCCCTTAAACTTTCGATTCGCACCCCCCCCCCCCCCACCCATACATTTTTTATATTTATAATGCATAACTGCAGCTAAAATGAGATTTTAATTTGTTTTTCCAACCCATTTTGGCGCCCCCTAAGGTCGGCGCCCGGGGACATATGTAACCCTCCCCCGGCCCCCCTCGCTACGCCTCTGCGTGACAGATGCCATAAAATATGCAGCTGTGACTGTCTAGCACAAATGACAGATGACAGACAACATGCAGCTTTGACAGACTAACATACACTCAACACACGTGTGACATATGACAGACAACAGCTACGACAAACAATTATCTGTATACGAAAAAAAAAAAAACTACAACACGAAAGTGAAGCTCTAAATTAATGATAAATCTTCGCTCATTAATTATTTCTAATTAATTCCTTTTTATGTAAAAAAAACAACCTAATTACATCTTTACTTTTTCATACATTTTGTTACTGTAAACTAATCCGCACATTTTACCTACTTCTACAAGAAAAGTTACTTCCCTTTAAGAAAAAAAAAAGTAAAAATATTGTTACCTCATTCCCGTGTATGTTTCCTATGTACTGGACGTTGGGTACTAGTGGCTCCTGATTGATGGCGTGTGTGCCAATAGCCAGTACCCACATTTCACGGTCTGAGAAAATAAAAAGTTACGGGTTTCAAAAGTCGGATTGTAAAAGTTTTATATGAAACGATATTTTCGATAATGAAATTTGAGTTACTTATTATTTTTAAACAATTAATCACGATTACATTTTGGAAAGAAATACAGGTATTTTAATTTGAAAGTAGGACATTTTTACTTTGTTTAATTAAGCTAGGTCACCCAGGCCTACTTGACTTAACGGGACCTACCTTCGTTAGGTCACCTAGCCCTCCTTGACCTATGGACACCTACCTTCGTTGGGTCACCCAGGTCGCCTAAACCTCCTTGACCTATGAAAACGTACCTTCGTTAGGTCACCCAGACCTGCCTTCGTTAGGTCACCGAGACCTACCTTCATTGGGTCACCAAGACCTACCTGACCTAACGACACCTGCCTTAGTTAGGTCACCTAAACCTCCTTGACCTATGAAAAGGTACCTTCGTTAGGTCACCCAGACCTACATGACCTAACGACACCTACCTTCGCTAGGTCACCTAGACCTACCAGACCTAACGACACCTACCTTCGTTAGGTCACCCAGACCTACTTTCGCTAGGTCACCTAGACCTACCAGACCTAACGACACCTACCTTCGTTAGGTCATCTATACCTACATGACCTAACGACACCTACCTTCGTTAGGTCATCTAGACCTATATGACCTAACGACACCAACTTCGTTAGGTCACCCAGACCTACCTTCCTTAGGTCACCTAGACCTACCTTCGCTGGTCTTGCCTATGGAGTACATGTGCGTGATGGTGGGGTAGTTCTTGTGTAAGGTGTCGAGTGTGGCCTGGAGTTCCGTGGCCATGTGGTACCTCAGGTCAGCTTCCATCTCTCTGGTCTCTGGTAGCAGCAACAACAACACGAACAATACCAGTCGCTGCATTCAGCAGATCTGGGTGAGGGGGGGAGGGGAAAAGAAAGTTTCAGAAATTGGCTGCTGGGATCTCTAGCATTTGACTGTTCTGGGGAATGGGGTGGGAGGGGGTGGGGAACACGGGAAGAATTGGCGTGTCCATAAAAGACAGCATAGTAGTATATTAGGTCACTTTTGGGTCGCATGGGTGAGCAGGAGCAGGAGCAGGAGCAGGAGCAGGAACAAAGGCTATATAGGAAAATACTCCCCCAGCCTGGGACAATGACATATAGCAAAATACTCACCCACCTGGGTGAGCAGGATGGTGAGCCTGGGACAACGAGATATAGTAAAATACTCCCTGGGTGAGCAGGAGGTACACCGACATATAGCAAAATACTCACCCATCTGGGTGAGGGTGGGTGAGCAGGTGGCGCAGCCTGGGACAACGAGATATAGGAAAATACTCACCCACCTGGGTGAAGGTGGGTGAGGGTGGGTGAGCAGCCTGGGACAATGAGATATAGTAAAATACTCACCCACCCTAGGGTGGGTGAGCAGGTGGGGGAGTAGGTCAGTAGGTCACCACCGGTGACCTTGTGACGTAATTAGTAACATTATGACGTAATCATTGACCTAGTTACGTAATTTTAATGCGTTTTTTAATTAGTTTTAATGAGTTTTTTTAATTTTAATTAATTTTTGACCTAGTTACGTAATTTTATTGTTTTTTAATTAATTTGATTTTAATTACTTTGTTTGTGTTTTGTTTGTTTATTTTTAATAAGTTTAATTAATTCGATTTTTTATTTATTTTGTATTTGTTTGATTTTAACTTTTTAATTATTTTTATTTTGTTTATTTTTAATTTAATTATTTTATTTTTAATAAGTTTAATTAATTTGATTTTTATTTATTTTGTATCTAGTTACGTAATTTTAATTTTATTTTATAATTAGTTTGAATTTTTATTGACTAGTTATGTAATTTAATTACGTTGATTGTTTAATTAGTTTGTTTACTTGTTGTTTAATTTAATTACTTTGTTTATATTGTGTAATTTTTATTAACGAGTTACGTAATTTGCTTATTTGTTTGAAATTCATTTTAATTAATTTGATTTTAATTACTTTGTTTAATTTATTTATTTGATATATTTCTTTTCTTTGTTGTTTAATGTTGCTTATTTATTTGAATGTATGTATGTTTTAAATTCTCCCCTACAACGAACGTGTACAAAAAACAGGTTAAATTCTCCACCACAACGAACGTTACAAACATAGAACATCCATTAAAGATAACGATCAGCCACAGCTGTTACGTATCGACCCGCCCGCGAAGTTTTCTCACCGCTGCCCGTTTTAATGGGAATGTATTGATCGCAGCCGCTGGCCCATCACACCTAATTAAATTTTTGTTATGCTTCACCGAGTTTCCCCCGAGCGGTTGACAGGTTATGGTAATTAACGACATACATTAAGTAGCTTTCCGCGAAGCACTTAGGTCATTATGCAACAGCTGTTGTGCGACAGCTGGTGCTGTAATTAGGCCGTTCAACCGGATAAATGACCGCGAAAATTGTGTTCTAATCACTTCAACTTCGGACTTCAAATCAAGCGTCACCGCGACTTATCCAGCCTGCGACCTCTGTTGACTCCTGAGACTAAACCCACGCCAGCTTTACCAACCATCACATCCACCTAACCCTATACGGACCACATCTTTTGTGCGTGTTTATTCTATTAAAGGTAAGGTTAATATTACTTTTTGTTTTAAGGGAGCTAACCCCATTAAAATACCCTTTAAATAAATAAGTATCTAAATAAGTATTCATATGTATTCCTTTTAGTGTACAACCGACCCTACGAGACAGACTAACCATCGACCGAACCTATTGAGCTACCTACCCATCCCCGAGGCACCCACTGAACCAAACGTTCCAGCTACATCCAACTACACCATTTCGGATCTCCACACACAGCTAACTTCACGTTCAGCTTACGCGTTCAAACCCATAGGTACGTTCATTTTTAATTTTGTTTTAAGTATGATTTTTGTTTCATGCATTTTATTTTATGTATTTATTTTTATTCTACAGCCAGTGACCTACCCAGTCATCCAACTACTAGACACTTCGTCAATAATGCAAACCGCCCAGTCTACCACCCATCCAGCCATGAGCCGTAACAAGTGTGACATATGCAACCGTGTGTTCACCCGCAAAGACGGGTTGACAAGACATCACGACTCTGTTCACCGCCGACAAGGACATCTCTGTACAACATGCGGGAATCTATTTACACGACTTGACAATTTAACAAGACATTGTAAAACAACACACACCAACCAAACATCACCGACCGACACCCCATCAGCAACCGATAGACAAACTCCACAACCACTATACGTGACCGACAGACAAACCATGCAACCCCTAGCAGCGATCCAAACAACTCGTACCATGACCAACACTATTCCATTAAAGCGACATACGATGTATGACGACATAGCAAACAACAAACGCGTAAAGACTAACAACGACAGTAACGTTAATTCACACACCACTATTTTTCCTGTAGACGACCTACCCATGATACGTTATACATGTGACATATGTGAGCATGCATTCACCTGCAAACATGGTTTGAAACGACATCACGATACGGCACACAGACGACGAAGACATACATGTAGAGAATGTTTGCAAGAATTTACAAGAAAATATAATTTAACGAACCACTATAAAATACCACACACCATCAAAACATCACCAGACGACACATCAGCGACCGACACGAATATCCCATAGGATGACTTCTCACAGACATCTCCTTACACCCAACACAGAAACTCACGTTCTTACTTTTATATTAAAAGACAAGTAGACACAATGTGACATCTCCCCTAGACTGTAGACCGATGGGGTTGTTTTTATTCAATAAAAATTTATTATATATGGTCTTTTGTGATTTTTTAATGTGTTATTGTTTTGTTACTTGTCCCTGAAAGTTATGTAACTCGGTATCCTGTATAAGAGGTATGACTGGAATCAAAATCACGGGAGAGAACGTGACGTACATCGCGATATTTGAAAACAGGGCGATGTTTAACCTCAACCAAAAAAGACAATGAACCTAGAAGGAAGACGAATATATATCTTAGTCTTGCAGCAGATTACCTTCCCATGTTCACTTTAGTATTACAGTTTTCATCAAACTTCTTTTTGACTTGAACTTCGTTAATTTTTAAGAAAGTTTACTTATACATAATACATTACGTCTAATGACAATTTTTTATTTTTACCACTCAATGTATTTTCTTTTTCTATATCTTACATTGTCATCTTAATTTTTGATCACCTTAGTAAAAATTTGCTTAAGATTATAAACTTCAAGTTTTAAAAAACAACAACGTTATAGTACGTCGTGTCAAATGACACACCGTTTAAAATGTCTACATTTAAAGTTCACCAAAATAATGACGTAAAATCTAAATATGATATGACGTTAGCATACATATCATTCAACCTAATCACTCTAAAGTACAAATCAATAATTTTTATTGATTAAGGGGCTGGGTGAGTTATTTTTATCACTATTCGCCCTTCCCCTTCCCTTTGTCCGCAACCCCGTTCCCCTTCTCCCATCCAACCTTGCGTCATCACACTAACCTCAATACCAACCGTTAGATAAACAGACCGTACTACTACCCACACTATTCCATTTAAGAGACAAAGGCTGTATGACAATCCTACAGACAAATATTTATTCAACTAATATCACAACCCCCTAGAAACCACTCCAACAGACTGGGATACATAACTTGTAGACACCACTCCTCGTTGAATATCTCTTGCACCCTACCTACATCGACAAATTTGTCCGCCGCCCTCGCCCCCGTCCCTAGTATGAACTCGGTTACCAACAATTTCAAAACATGCATGTTCCGAGTTCAAAACCAACCTTCACCGACACTACTATGAACTCGGCCCCTAACACTTCCAAAACATGCCTGTACTAACTTTGAAACCACCATCGGTGAAAACTTCACCGACCTTAGTATGGACTCTACACCTACCGATTCCAAAACATGCATGTTCCGAGTTCAAAACCAACCTTCACCGACACTAGTATGAACTCGGCTACCAACAATTCCAAAACATGCATGTTCCGAGTTCAAAACCAACCTTCACCGACACTAGTATGAACTCGGCTACCAACAATTCCCAAACATGCATGTTCCGAGTTCAAAACCAACCTTCACCGACACTAGTATGAACTCGGCTACCAACAATTCCCAAACATGCATGTAACAACTTTCCAACCTGCCTCAGTGCTAACAAAATTCCCCGACCCTAGTATGAACTCGACTGCCATCAATTCCTAAACATCCATGTACCAACTTTGTAACCTACATCGGTGAAAACTTCACCGACCTTAGTTTAACTCTACCTAACAATTCCAATGATGCATATACGAACTTTGTAACCTGCCTCGGTGAAAACACCCCCGTCCCTAGTCTGAACTCGGTTACCAACAATTTCAAAACATGCATGCTCCGAGTTCAAAACCAACCTTCACCGACACTAGTATGAACTCGGCTACCAACAATTCCTAAACATGCATGTACCAACTTTGCAACCTGCCTCGGTGTTAACAAAAACTCCTCTGACCCTAGTATGAACTCGGTTACCAACAATTTCAAAACATACATGTTCCGAGATCAAAACCAACCTTCACCGACACTAGTATGAACTCGGCTACCATCAATTCCTAAACATGCATGTGCCAACTTTGCAACCTGCCTCAGTGTTAGCAAAACTCCCCGACCCTAGTATGGACTCTACACCTACCGATTCCAAAACATGAATGTTCCGAGTTCAAAACCAACCTCGGTGAAAACTTCACCAACCTTAGTTTAACTCTCCCTAACAATTCCAAAACATGCATGGTCTAGATTCGAACCCTGCCTCGGTGAAAACGTCACCGACTCGTGTATAAAATCTGTCCCAACCAACTCCAAACCTTCCCTG